TGGTAAGATTCAATTTGGCCCCATTCGGTTTGAGATACCTATCCCTCAAAAAAGTTCTAAGAGGAAAGCAATGGGAAGAAGTCGCAAAGAGCCAACATGCATCATCATGTGAACTTTCTAACAATCTTAACTTTCTAACCAGGCAAAAAGTGGATGGATCTTGGACTTGTGGTACAGCTTGCAACTCCCTCGATCCAAGTGGTCTGGAAAAAAACCTCCAAAGGTCAGACTGCCTTCCGGAAGGTTTCTGAAGCAGCAGTGTCGTTTGAGCACTGACCGACAGGGACCCCAGGGACAGGGGCCGTCTTCTCGTGCTGGTTCCCGCGCTCCAAAAGGGGCGGCGGCCGAGGCTGGCCCACGCGGAGCGGCTGCACGGAACGTCCCCGCGCACAAGTCTGCGGCCAGGGCGGCCGAGGACGAGGGACCCGAGGGCCGGTACGCTCGAGGACCGGGTGCCACGGGGTCCGCCCGGGCCAGGGGGCCGATGCCCGCGGAGGCCAGGCGCCTCACGCGAGGAGTGGGGCGGGGCAATCCGCCTCTCGCGTCAGGCAAAGTCGCTCACCCGACGGCACGTAGTCTTCGTCCTCCTCCGAGGTGGAGAAGTCTTCAGAGTCGAATTCCTCCATGTCGCTGCCGCTCGGCGCTAGCGAACCCAAAGGACCGCAGCAGCTGCCCGCAACCGTGGAGGTCTAGGGAGCGACCATAGAGCTCGGGCGGCTGCAGCTAGGGCGGCCCCCGACTACGTTTCGCACATGCGCAGAAAGTGCTACGTGGTCAGATACGACACTTCCGGCCGCTGCCTCAGGGCTGAGTTTCCCGGGGCCGTCGCGGGAGTGCGCGCCCGCCCGCAAGCGGTCGGTGCTGGAATTTGTAGTCTTCGGCTTTACCTCATCCCTTTGATTTAGAAAGTGTGCTAAAATAAAATTACACGTTAATGGAAATATGTTGACATTTATTATTCAAGGGTTCAGGTTTTCAAGTTCGCTTGCTTGCTAAAATTTATATGCGAATCCTTCCCCCCCCAATCAATACTCGGAGTACTTTCTGGAGTTACTCCTGAGCACGCACAGAGGATGAAAATTTGGAGCTGGCCGAGGTGCGGGTTCCCATCTGCAGCCAGAACCAGGCAGAAGATCCGCCTTCTGGTTGCAGCTCTCAGGATGTAAACAAGAGCCCTTTACTCGGTCCGTTTAGTGACACTTTTCTTTGCATTTTTTGCTCTTTGTTGGTGATTTTGCTGTTTGGCGTGGTCCCCAAGCGAAGTCCTGAAGTGCTGTTGAGTGTTCCCAAGCGCAAGAAGACTGGATATGCCTGATGGAGAAAATATGTGTGTTAGATAAGCTCCGTGGGGGCCTGAAGTTACAGTGTTGTTGGCCATGAACTCGCTGTTAACGAATCGACAATCCGATACATGAAGGAAGAGTAAATTGGCCGATCTGTACGTGAGGCCGCTCCGGAAAGTGCTACAAGTAATATCTATAGCGCGTGATGAAGCTATTGAAAAGATGGAAAAGCAGCTCAATGTGTGGATCCCTGAGATGAGCACTGATAAAACAAACAAACATTGTGGACAGCATTGTTATGGGACTGACAGCCAAAGAAATTTATGGGCATGTTACCCAGGGTCAGAGAAATGTTAAGCCCTTCTCTGCGAGTGCAGGCTACCGGGTGAAAAATGCTAAACTTGCAGGTGAGGCAAGTTCTGTGGGCCAGGAGGCCGCGGAAGAATTTAAAAAATACTTATTAAATGTTCTACAGGAAAAAGGCTATGTGGAAGAGCAGGTTTTCAATGATGATGAGACCTGCTTATTTTACAAGGATGTTGACAAATGAACCTATGTAATGCAAATGGCCTCCAAAGCCCCTAGCTTCCAATAGTGCCAAGACCCTGCAGCCTCGCTATTGTGCACCAATGCCAAGGGCAATTTTAAAAGCAAACCCCTAATAGGGTACAGAGCCCAAAATCCACAAGCACTTAAAGGGAAAAATGTGAACCATCTGCTAGTCCATTGGAGGTGGAACGAAAAAGCATGGATGATGTCTGATTGGTTCCACATCTGTTTCATCCCAGAAGTTGAACAGTATCTCCAAGGCAGAAACCTTGCCTTCAAGATTTTATTAATTTTGGATACTGCCTCAGTCCATTGCCCTGAAGAACTTGAAAATGCACACCCCAACATAGAAGTTCTATTTCTGCCTGCAAACACTGTCTCTGTGGTCCAGCCCTTGGATCAGGGCATAACAAAAGCTTTCAAGCCACACTACACAGAGGGAGCTTTACACATAGGCCTGTGAGGCTCTCAGGCCAACAAGAAAACCACAGTAATGGACTGTTGGAAATCAGTCACTATAAGCAACAATATTGATTATGTTGGCTCAGCCTGGGATAGCATCAAGCCGGCTACTGTTAACAGTTGTTGGGAAAATGCTTGGTCGGACTATGTGGACAACTTTGAAGGTTTTGAAAGTGTTAACAGAAAATATAAAGAACAGTGTCAAAAATGTAATGCATATCGCACAGCAAATAAGTGGAGAGAGTTTGATGACATGAAGGAGGATGACGTGAAATCAGTTTTGGCAGAGAAGGCAGTAGAACCAACCGGTGAAGATGTAGATGAGATGGCAAAACAAGGTGTTGGAGTCAGTGATGATGAGGATGGCAGTGGAAGTCAGCATAAATCTTCAAGAATTGTCCCTCTCACAGCAGCCAAAATACCAGACTGGAATTCTGCTTCAGAAAAATTTTTGATGAAGAGTGTGACCCCATGCTTGACCACAGCCTCAAATTTAAGTACCTGACCTCTACTGCATTTCCCTCTTACTCCAAAATGCTTAAAGATTTGAGGCAGGGCTCGGCACCTGTGGCTCAAGTGCTAAGGTGCCAGCCACATACACCTAAGGTGGCAGGTTCGAATCCAGCCCAGGCCAGCCAAACAACAATGATGGCTGCAACCAAAAAATAGCTGGGTGTTGTGGCGGGCACCTGTAGTCCCAGCTACTTGGGAGGCTGAG